AGTGGTACGTGTTCGAGATTGGGTTCATTCACAATCGAACTGTTCTCGGGTTCCCTACTGCTTTGCTCAGGTCCAATCTCAGGATCCATACCAGCTGGTGGTGCTGGAGGTCTTTCTTGCGATGCTCGGAATTGTCGTCGGTTTCGTCGGTATTTCCTTCCACTCACCTCTACTTCGTACGATATGTTATCTAAAACCCTGGTACACGTTCCAAGGGTCCATTTTGTTGCATTTGGCAATTTCATTCGTATAGCTTGACATTTTTTTAATGGCTTAAGAGGATGGTGCGTCTTGTTATAATGGCGAATTTGTCGTGATTTCCGAGCAGCCAGTTTATCTCTAGTGCCTTCGTTGATTGGTTGTTTAAGGAGATTTTTGTGAGTCGGTAACAGTGTGCGCGTACTGTAATATAGCTAATTAATATGCTAATAACTAATCCAAATAGGAATAACTGGTCAGTATTCAATATATAGTTCACAAACACTATAACACGCGTTTATCTCGTTTTATTGAGTCTTAAACTCTACACGTACGTCGCCCCATCAACCTTTGGGCAGGTGATGATCCCAGACTTTCTGTGGGGGTGTTTCTCCAGTCTAAAAATGCTAACAATGGGTCTTGACCAGCAGCTTTGGCTTTTCTCATCAGCATTTTGCAAGTCTTGACCGCATTCTCTGCTCTGCCATTAGATTGTGGGTAACGAGGGCTTGAAGTTAGATGCTTAAACTGCCAATCTCTTGCAAATGCTGTCACTATCTTGATCAATTTCCGATGGGATCTCCAAAGAAAGTAGCTACATTTGCAGACAACATGAAACTTCAGACTGCAGAAAATTTCACAATCCGTTATCAAACTTATGTCACGCAAGTGGTAAAGGACATATGTGACAACTGAATGGTACCTTTTGTAAATTTTTTGGCCAGGGGTGGGTGTTTATTTTTTAATTTATATTTGAGTTTTTTACTTTTTAATGGTTGGGTCAGCAAAATTTTTGCTACGAAAAACATTTCTCTTCGGTGCCACCCCCCGCCATAAATAATGACCGGTCCCTAAATACGTTCGACACATTGTAGGTCTTACGAGTGATTGAAAGAGTTTTGGTGCAGTTTTGTGCGTTTAAAATTGGAAATACGATAGGCGAATTTTATACCTTTGTTTTCCCGGAGATCTGTTTGTCCTGACGCTTTAAATTTGCATTTGTTGGCATTTTTGCCAGTTACTATTCGTAAAATTTCAAAAGAATTAAAATTCTTTGCAATTCTTTGATAGTTAACTGTAGCCATCCATATTTTTTTGTTTTTATGCGCAAACAATTGCTTAGGCACTCAAGAGTATTAAATCGTAACATGTGAATTTTTTGTTTTTGCTCATTTGCCATTGATATCACATTTTTCTTAAAATTCATTGGCTGTTTGAATCCTATGATTAAATATGATTGGTTGGCTGAAGTCAGCACTCTTATTGTGATTGGTTGAAAGAAGGTGCGAATTCAGCACGAATCGCACTGCTAGGAGTGCGATTCGTGCTGAAATCGCACACCTGTGAACCAATCAGATTGCAGGAAATACCATTGATTTCAAAATGAATATAATAAAGGCATAAAGGTCAAGAAAATTAAGTTCGAAAAAAGAAAATTAAGTCAAGGGAAACCAAATTTGTGTAATATTTATTACAAATATTAAAATAATAAACAAAAAAGTCATTTTACCAGCCTTTCTTCGCACTGACACTGTTATTTTTGTTCTTAACCAGTGCTATTGTACCCTGGAACCAGAGGGTATTTATTTTCGCCTGTTTTGAATAACCCTCTGGTGAAATTGGCGTAGTTTTTGGGTTCACATTCCACACATAACTTTCAAAAATGGAAGCAAAGAGTTGATTGGCTGCTGACTATAGGTTCGATAGACTACGTGTTCTGATTGGATATTGTAAACATCATAGCCTGTTCGCAGGCGTTTCGTGTTTTGATTGAATTGAAACATTTGAATTTTGAAATGTCTATATTATTAAATAAACGAACAAAAGTTGAAAGAAGCAGTTTTATATAGGCTGCATTAATAGATAGATTGATAAATTTCCTGAATTAAAAGTTTAACGGAGCATCAATACCCCGCCTTGTCCAATTTGATTCACATTAATTAAAGATGTATTTGCATCTTGCTATCGATCGGTTATGGGAAGAGTTTAATATTCCAAAGTTCTAACACCGAGAGTAGCACGACGACTTGGCAAAAGCCACAATTTTCTGGAGAAACCCATCTTAATAGTCATTTGCAAATTGAACTCTTTCATTGACTCTCACGTCCGTGAACTAAGAAAGCGTGGATGCCGTGTTACTTCACTGTCAAACGAAGAGGACGAGAAAGCAATACTATAGATGGAGAGTTTACATTCGCATTTTGTAATCCCGAGTCTATTATTCGAAATGCGAAATGGAGAGGAATGGTTTCATTTGAAATCTACAAGACAAATTTGCTTGCTTTTGTATTAACAGACAAAGTTCACGTCGGCCCAAAGAGGTGTGTTTAATAAATTTATAAGATACATATTTTTTTAATGTATATTGCAGGATTAAATTGAATGTATATTGCACGATTAAAGTGAATGAATATAAATATATATTTATATTAAATTGAATAGATGTGATGTTTTAAATTGAATGAAATTCAGGAGAATGAATATTGCTACAAATGGGCAGGCATATACTGGACAGTAAACATGCGATAAAACCCTGTCTAGACGGCCTGGCGTCAAGGATAATGATTGGATAATATTTTTAGAATATGATGCATTAAGCCATTATACATTTTTTGCATTCTTTATCCGAACCAGGAATCGCTAAAAATTCACCAGAGGTTTTTTCTTTTTCTACGCGCGTTTTCTCGCATTTCGCGTTCGCCAAACCTAAAAAAACCTCTGGGCCAGGGTAGAACAGGTGATATTTCTCCGCGAGACCCAAAACAAATGTGGGAATGTGCCTAAAGGCCAACCTCTGTTGATACAACCTCTATACGTATATTCCTGCATGTATATAGGCTATTAGTGAAATATAACTTACAGCAGAAGTAACCTGAAGATTATTTAAATTCCCCTTTTTCTCACAAGTTAAACTAATTGCGTAAAAAGCACGGAAAAAAGAATAGTAGTAAATAAAACACATTCCTCCTAGGCGGGGAATCGAACCCCGGTCTCCCGCGTGACAGGCGGGGATACTCACCACGATACTACCGAGGACTACAAACGTTTGGATTTAATATTTTAGCATTGAACAAATGACAATTTATCAATGCAGTATTAATTTAATCTAAGATGCAATCTTCATTACAACGCTAGCTATGTTCCTTCCCAATAAATGAACAATACAGCTAATTAAGGAATAAAGCAAAGATCATAAAGATTATACCTGCTCTCAGAATAAATGTGCGTGGAAATAGTTATGCCAGCTTTGCAGACGGGTATACTCGTCACTATACACGTACTGCATACTATCGAGAGTTACTGTAACAGTATATTTTAAATAAATATATTACTGAGAGATGACAGATTAAATGGGCGGATCTAGCCTTGTCTGTAAGGAGGGGTGCACGTTTCCCAGGGGGTGGTGCATGAGAGAGCGCTATACATCACACTCTCTTCTGGTGTCTGCAACGCTAGTATCAAAACATTACCATCACCTGCATGTTCCCATGTCTATGTTATAGGTATATATATATATATATATATATATATATATATATATATATATATATATATATATATATATATATATATATATATATATATATATATATATTATAATTTCGCTTACCTCAAAATTACCGCCTGATGATTAGGTATACCGCCTGATGATTAGGCGTGATACCGCCTGATGATTCTTTACTGATGAAACAGACTGTTGCGGAATTTTGAGGTAAGCGAAATTCTACATTTGCTCTATCTTTATGAGATTGAGCACTCTTTGCGTTTCGTATACACAAACCTACTCGTATATATATATATATATATATATATATATATATATATATATATATATATATATATATATATATATATATTATTAAGATGTAGAAAGGTTGACGCTGGTTTGATAAAAACGTTAAAAACTACGTTTATTTAAAAAGATGTTAAGACGTTTCGACCAGTAACTTAGGTCTTCGTCAGTTAAAAATTTAACAAGGTTCAAAACTGAACAATATATATAGGTTCAGAGTTAATTAGCAGATAAGTGTTTTATACACATCCGGTATTTCGATATGGTCGTTTCCTGCGTTATGATCCTTGAGGGAATACCAAGCCTCTAAAAACAAACGTTCGCGATAGTTCTTTGTCCTGTTTATATATATATATATATATATATATATATATATATATATATATATATATATATATATATATATATATATATATATATATATATATATATATATATATATATATGTATATATAGGCCTACTCTGGGGCGGTAAATCGCCTTAAATCGCCTAAAATCGCCCAAAATCGCATTAAATCGCAGGTTAAAATGGTCAAATTTCTCTTAAATCGCCTAAAATCGCTTAGAATCATGGGCATACTGGGTGGGGGTGGGGGGGGATGGGGCAACCGCCCCCCAGTTTCTGGCTGGGCGGTCGCCCCCTCGCTTTGTTGGGCAAACAAAGCCAGCCAGGCAATATTCGCTTCACAGTCGGGCAATATTGGTTTATTATAGAAATAAATGGGACAAATTCTGTCAATTTTGTGGGAAATTCTGTCAATTATGTGGGAAATATGCTATCTAATAGGATTTTTTTGTAATCACTTCTCCCCCCCCCCCCAATCACTTCTTTCCAACCCCCTAATATTTTCCTTCCCGTACTCCCATGCTTAAAATCGCATTAACTCGGCAACACGCATTCTGT